GCCAGGAAGGGAGGCAAGAGAGGGAGGTTGGAATCGACCGATGAAGAAGCATCCTCCTACCTTCCCGCCTCGACTTGCACCCCTCCATTTCCTTCGACACATGGGGGCACGCTCGCGCGCGACCCGCGGCCTTGGCAGCCACCATCATCGTCGTCGACGGGCATCCCGAGGCTCTTCAGGATGTCGACCTTCGCCTCTGTCGAGCCCCCCTTCCGGAGGAGGAGGAGGAGGAGGAGGAGGAGGAGGAAGAGGGGGTGGAGGAGGAGTAGGAGGACTACTTCTCTCTGAGCGCCCCCATCATCGACCTCTCGCCACATCCCCTCACGCGTCGAGGGAAAGCAGGATGAGGAGGACAATAACACTAACGAGGAGGAGGAGGAGGAGAAGGAGGAGGAGGAGGAGGAGGAGGAGGCATGTTAAACACATGGCTATGAGGTCGGACGACCCCAGGTATTCCTCCTCCTACTCCCCTCCTCCATCCTCCTTCCTCCTCCTCCTCCTCTTTCCTCCTCCTCCTCCTCCTCCTTCCTCATCCTCCCCCTCCTCCCTCCTCCCTCCCTCATCCTCATCCTCCCTCCTCCTCCTCCCCCTCCTCCTCCTCTTCCTCTCCTCCTCCTCCTCCTCCTAGCCGCCGCCCTCCTCCCCCCTCCTCCACTCCCCCATCCTCCCCCCCCCCTCCTCCTCCCCACCTCCCTCCTCCTCCTCCTCCTCCTCCTCCTCCACCTCCTCTTCATCCCGCCCGAGCCTGCGCCCACGCGGCGCAGGCGAGGGGGTTCGCGCTCACCTGCACGACGTGTCCTCGGCGAATGGGGTTCAGCGAGCGCTCTACTTCCCAGCCCGCCTCATCCTTCCCGCTGCCCCAGCCCGCCCACCCCCCTCACCAGTCCTACATCGCGTATGGAATAGAAGCACGTATTCTCGAAGCCGTTCACGTGCACGCCCACGCACAGCTTTCCGAGCCTCCCGAGGAACGGGCGGCGCCGCGGCGCGCCGGGCTGAGCAGGGCCCCGCTCCGCATCCTCCCCAAAAGGGATTCCCGACTCCCTCCCTGCTCCCGCTCCCTCCTCCTCCTCCTCCTCCTCCTCCTCCTCCACCTCCCCTCCTCACTCCACTCCTCCTCCTCCTCCTCGCTCCGTCCTCCTCCTCCTCGTCCTCCTCCTCCTCCTCCTCCTCCTCCTCCTCATCCTTCCCCCATTCCTGCCCTCCCTCATCCCCCCTCCATCCAGCATCCCTCCCCACATCCTCTCCTTCTCCCTCCTCCCTCCCCCCCCCCCTCACCGCGGGGGCCGCCGGCCTCGCCGGCGTGACCGCCTTCGAGTGAAGCTGCAGCTTCGAGATCGCGTCCAAAAAACGTTTCTCCTAGGAGCGCCCCTCCTCCCCCTCCCCGGGTCCTCCCCCCGGAGGAGGAGGGGGATGGGGAAGGGGTAGAGGAGGAGGCGGAGGAGGAGGAGGGAGGGGGAGGAGGAACCGATCCTCGATCAAGGCATCGTCGCCGCGCCGAGCAAATGCGCCCGCGAACACGATGGCCAGGCGCCTGGCAAGGAAGTCGGCCATGAGGCCATCGAGCCGATGCGGCTGCGGGAGGAGGGGAGGGAGGGAGGAGTAGGAGGAGGAGGAGGAGGAGGAGGGAGGGAGGGGGGGCCCCTCCTCCTGCCACGCTCGAGCAGTCAGGGGTAGGGGTCGGCGGCCAGAAGGCGGAACTCCTCGCTCCCCTCCTCATCCCCGTCCCGTCCTGCCGCCTCCTATATCCTCCTCAGGTCCTCCTCTCCGCTGCTCTCCCTCGCCCGTTATCGGTGCCCGCGCCCTTCGAGTCGCGAACCGACTGTAGCCCGCACCCGTTTCCCGTCCCCTTGTATTTACTTCAAAATTAGGCAACGCTCTCCAGTACTGCAAAGACATGCGGTACGGAGGGCGGGGAGGAGGAGGAGGAGGAGGAGGAGGAAGAGGAGGAGGAGGACCTCACGAGGAGGAGGAGGAGAGGAGGAGGAGGAGGAGGAGAAGGAGGAGGAGGGAGGAGGAGGAGGAGGCGGGAGGTGGAATCACCATGTTCGCACAAAAAGCGGCACCGCCATGTTTGCACACAGTCCCGCGCCGTCCCTGTTTGCATGCAGCGCCGCGCCGTCGGCTCAGCCGACGACCCCCCTGCGGGCTTTGACCGCCTGGAGGTACTTGCCCAAGTCAGACCAGTTGCCCTGAGGGAGGAGCGACGACTGGGAATGGAAACGGGGAGGGGTGAGGGAGACCGGGAGACCTTGATGCGCTTCAGCACCGCCAAGTTGAGGGCCATGCGCGGCCAGGGCTGGCCGTTGGGAAGGAGGGCTCTGCGCGCGGCTCCAGCCTGAACGCGGGCGAGGGCGCGGGCCTTGAACGCCTTAAGGAAGTTCCCGATCGCGCCGAAAGCGCCCTGCGAGGAGAAGGGGGGAGGAGGGGAGAGGAGGACAGGGGAGGAAGGAACGAGAGGAGCGAGGGGCCTTGAGGGTGACGAGCAGCAGCGCACCGC